GTGTGTGTGTGTGTGTGTGTGTGTGTGTGTGTGTGTCTCAGGTAGTCTGGATGCACACCTGTAGTCCTGATCAGGTGGGTTAAGTTTAGGCTTAGGTCAGGGTTAGGCTGTCAGCTGATGAACACAGACTCTCAGACCTGTTAAATAAATGTTGTTGTTTTAATTTAAGTCTTATCAGGTAAGTAACATAAGATGAGTTCTGAGTTCTGTCTGTGACCGTGGTTTGGTCCAAAACAAAGACGCCAGGACTGTTCAGGTTTATAACTGAAGTGACACTTCACAGCTCTCTGCAGCTCATCAGGTAAATAAGTTCAAGAGATTCATCTGCAGGTTTGTGTGTTAGCTTTCCACCAGAGTCAGTTCATTATACACTTTAACAATAATAATAATTTTATTTAGAAAGTGCTTTCAAACAGTGCTGAACAGTTACAAAAAGATAAAATCAATATAAAAAGTTGAAGGAACAAGTAAAACATTGAAAAAAAGAGAGAATACAAATGTAAAATTTAAGACACATAAGACATGGTGTACAGGTGGGTCTTTAGCTTGGCTTAGAGCAGGCCAGCCTGATGTCTTCAGGAAGATCCTTTCACAATAAAGGGCAGGAAAGAAAAATGCACGACTTTGTCCAGTTATTCCATTCTGTGACCTTGATTCTTGGTAGGACTGAAGTCCAGAGTGGGTCTGTTCTGTTCACAGTCTGTTTGTGTTTGTGACCAGGAGGGAGTGGGAGACACTCCGGACTCGTATGCTTACGATGGGAACCGAGTCAGGAAGTGGAACGTAACCACCACCAACTACGGAAAGGTGAGGTGGGAAACCAGGTGTGTAAGAGCCTGGGTTACACTTTCACATGTACATGGTTCATGTTGTGTAATATTTGCTGACTCATGTTGTGTAATATTTGCTGACTCGTGTGTAATATTTGCTGACTCATGTAATATTTGCTGACTTGTGTAATATTTGCTGACTCGTGTAATATTTGCTGACTCGTCTGTAATATTTGCTGACTCGTAGTATTTGCGGACTTGTGTAATATTTGCTGACTCGTGTAATATTTGCTGACTCGTGTAATATTTGCTGACTCATGTATAATGTCTGTGCAGTCTTGGGCAGCTGGAGACGTGGTCAGCTGTCTGCTCGATCTGGATGAGGGAACCATCACGTTCTGTCTGTGAGTTCCTCAGATTCCTGCTGACACAAACAGGCTAACACTTGGTCTTTGTTACCCGAACCTGTACCTGTACCTGTACCTGAACCTGAACCTGTACCTGTGATGTGTCCAGGAACGGTCAGTCTCTCGGTACGGCCTTCACCAACATAAAGACAGGTCCTGGCGTGGCCTATTTTCCTGCCATCAGCCTGTCCTTCAAAGAGTCGGTGGCCTTTAACTTCGGCAGCAGGCCGCTCAGATATCCTTCCTGTTTACCTGCACAGGTGTTTACATGTTCTACAGTTTCTGACAACAAAGAGAAATAATTATCCTGTCAGTGAGCCAGCTCCTCAGTGTTTGTCTTTAACCCACTGTGACTCACGTACCCTGTGGAGGGTTACCTGCCCCTCCAGGACCCCCCCACCACAGACCTGATCAAGGCCCACAAACTGCTGGGATACATCAAGAACGTCCTGTCCACCTCTATGGACATCCAGGTGACAGAGACACACCTGGCAGACGATGTGAAGTGTGTGTCTGTTTGAATGTGTGTTAAATGTGGGGGTGTTTGTCTGCAGGAGGACAAGCTGCTGGACAGGGACTGTGCAGTTTGGAGGCTTCATGGAGATCCAACGGTCCTCATCACTCTCGCTCACATCTTCAACCACTTTGCTCCTCTGATGGTGAGATGAGCTGATGGTCTGTGTGAGGAGAACCTGAACACTTGTTCTCCTCAGAGGAACATTCACACTGGTTCTCCTCAGAGGAACGTTCACACTGGTTCTCCTCAGAGGAACATTCACACTGGTTCTCCTCAGAGGAACATTCACACTGGTTCTCCTCAGAGGAACGTTCACACTGGTTCTCCTCAGAGGAACGTTCACACTGGTTCTCCTCAGAGGAAAGTTCACACTGGTTCTCCTCAGAGGAACCTTAACACTGGTTCTCCTCAGAGGAACCTTAACACTGGTTCTCCTCAGAGAAACTTTCACACTGGTTCTCCTCAGAGGAACCTTAACACTGGTTCTCCTCAGAGGAACATTAACACTGGTTCTCCTCAGACCTTGTGAGCCACAGGTAACAGTTTGTTTCTGCAGTGTAAGGTTTACCTGGTGGAGGACGTCCTGATGAACTTCCTGTTGGGGATCCTGGAGGGAGGAGGTTCTGTGGATGAGCACCCCCTCATCCAGCAGCTGTTGGACCTGTTCTGGCTGCTGATGGAGGTAGATGGAGAACCTCAGGCCTCCTTTCCACAGGTCAGCCTCAGGTTTGAGTTAAAGAACCTGTCTTTCTGTCTGCAGGAGCACGAGGTGAACGAGTGTCTGAAGCAGCTGATGATGTCCCTGCTGAGGGCGTACCGCTTCTCCCCCATCATCCCAGACCTGGGCTTTCAGGTCCCGCCCACTTCCTGTTTTTAATTAGGTGGGTCTCGAGTCCTCAGATGTTTCAGGTGTGTTTTTATCTGTTTCAGATTCACTACCTGAGACTGACCACAGCCATCCTACGTCATGAGAAATCCAGGAAGTACCTGCTCAATAATGTCTTATATCCTTCCACCTGCACCTGGAACCAGACCTGAGTCAGGAGGTCCATCCTGCTGCTGTTGATTAAATCGAATGAAATATCATTCAGACTAGTTTTCACCTGTTTGACTCTTTAACTGACAAACGTTTGATGTTCTGCGCTCAGTTGTGTTTTTCTACATTAAGACCCCTCTAAGGGTGAAGGAGGCGGGGCTAGAGGAGCTCATCCCCACCACCTGGTGGCCCACACATTTCGACAAGGAGGTAAAACTGGCTCACCTGGACTGAACTCACCTCATTAATCAGTTAGTCCGAGGACTTTCAGAACTTTCAGTCTCCACAAACATCTGGGACAGATTTCAAACTGTTACAGATTTTAGTGCAGACTGTCTCTGGTCTTGAGTGTGTTGAGTCAGGGGCGGGGCCTGAAGGGGCGGGGCCTGTTTCAGGCATGACATGAAAAAAAATCCAGATGGTGAATCTCAGCCTAGTGTAGAGTTCTGCAACATTTTGTTTCTGACTCGTTCATTTATAACAGGTGTGTTGGGGCAGGAACCAGGACCTGGTGGGTCCAGAGGTCCTGGTTTTTACACACCTGACCCCAGCCACCTACTGCTTGATGGATGTGTCCTCTTCCTGTTCTGCAGGGTAAAGATGAGCGCGAACCCAAAGATGAAAGTTCTGACGAGCGTCTGAGGCGTCGAGCTTACGAGAGAGGCTGCCAGAGACTGAAGAAGAGAATTGAAGGTCAGAACTAACAGTTCCATTACAGTGTTGTTACAGTTCTGTTACAGTGTTGTTACAGTGTTGTTACAGTGTTGTTACAGTGTTGTTACAGTTCTGTTACAGTGCTGTTACAGTGTTGT